TCCCACGTCTAAATCGGGATCCAATAACTCAAGTTATGGAATCTAGAAATGCAGTTTTTGGGGTCTGATACTGAGGTCCATAGGAAATACGGACATATCGAACATGAAAATGGGTTAAAATTTGGACCCTCGCTTAAAAGAACAATTTTAATGTAGATCATTAAAGAATTTTACCACAAACTCAAAGAGGTATCCCACGTCTAAATCGGGATACAATAACTTAAGTTATGGAATCTATAAGTGCAGTTTTTGGGGTCTGATATGGAATCCATTGGAAATACGGAAAAACCGAACATGAAAATGGGTTAAAATTTTGACCCTCAATTAAAAGAAATATTTAAATGTAGATCATTAGAGAATTTCACCACAAACTCATAGAGGTATCCCACGTCAAAATCGGGATCCAGTAAGTGAAGTTATGGAATCTAGAAGTGCAGTTTTGGGGTCTGATATGGATGTCCATTGGAAATACGGAAAAACCGAACATGAAAATGGGTTAAAGTTTTGACCCTCAATTAAAAGAACAATTTTAATGCAGGTTATTAGAGAATTTCGCCACAAACTCATAGAGGTATCCCACGTCGAAATCGGGATCCAATAACTCAAGTTATGGAATCTAGAAGTGCAGTTTTTGGTTCCCATACTGAAAACCATTGGAAATACGGTAAAATCGAACATGAAAATGGGTTAAAATTTTAACCATGGCTTAATAGAATAATTTGAATGCAGATTATAAGAAAATTTAAATACAAATTCAAAGAGGTATCCCACGTCGCGATCGGAATAAAATTACTCAAGTTATGGAATATAGAAGTGCAGTTTTTGGTTCCCATACTGAAAACCATTGGAAATACGGTAAAATCGAACATGAAAATGGGTTAAAATTTTGACCATGGCTTAATAGAATAATTTGAATGCAGATTATAAGAAAATTCAACTACAAACTGATAGAGGTATCCCACGTCTAAGTCGGGATCCAATAACTCAAGTTATGGAATCTAGAAGTTCAGTTTTTGGGGTCTGGTACTGAAATCCTTGAAAATACGAAAAAACCGAACATGAAAATGGGTTAAAATTTTGACCATCGATTAAAAGAACAATTTTTATGTAGATCATTAGAGAATTTTACCACAAACTCAAAGAGGTATCCCAGGTCTGAATCGGGATCCAATAATAATCCAAAATATGGGTAAAAATTTCAATTTAATTTTTGAATTATAAGCAATATAGGCAATTTTTAGCCCGTCCTCAACGCCCACACAATCGTTCTATAATTCACCACCAAAATTTTCCCAAACCTGAGAATCCCGATATTATTAAATTTAGAACCAATTTAGGCGCTGTCACAGAGCGACAGTTACCCAGTTTGCATCAATCATAATCAGAGGGCAGTGACTAAATGCAACTAAACCGGAATTATTCGGACTGCGTTGTCCAAATGTAACCATTTTGGTGTAACTCCCTTTCCTCTGGTCTTCCGCCTTTCGAAACGATTAAGTGATTCCGTGCACAGTGCATGATAATTGGATTAATATGCGTCGACAGCCAGCAGAACAGAGCATTGGAGTCGGTTAGGCAGGAGGATGAGGTTGAGAATGAGAATGAGGACGAGGATGTGGCAGCCACCACTGGGGGAAATCGGAGAAGCGAGGGTGGTTTGTGGGTTCTTGGGATTTGGTCCGGAGACTAGTTAGGCGGGCAAATTACGAGAGCATCCAAGGAAGCTCTTCCTCCTCAGAACTGTCACTTTGGCCTTTTTCTAGCTGTCCTACTAAATTTTTAAAAGTCTTTCGGGCGGGAACTCTTTATTATTTTAATTTAATTATAGTTTATGAAACTATGATTACTTTTCATGCATTTATTAAAACAGTAAATGACATAAGTGACATAAGTGTATTTAAAAAAAGTTGATTGCATTTCAATGTTCTTTTATATGTATTACAAACCCTTTTAAATATTTAGGAATAATATTTGTCATTCCCATTATTTGTCTTTGTCCATATGTTAGCTAATTTCTTGGTTTTAATTGCCCTTTCTAGCTACTTTTTGAACACAGAACTCAACACTGCCCCCTCATTCCACCCTTTTTGGGCTAAATGCTCTCGTTATCAAAATTACATATATCATAGCTCATTGTGCCGAGGGGTGGAACGAATGGGATAAACAGAGAACGCCGCCTTTTTCTGGCTACGGGTGGTTAACACCCCCCTTATAAGGGGTGCAAGTCAAATCAATTTCAAAGCAAACATATTCTCAGTGCCGTAATTGGAAAATTCGGGGATTAAGCGATAAAGTTGTATTCTTAAATTGATAAGCAGGAAGGTTGGGGAGTGAGGGTAAGGAATTACGACCAGTACTTTGGTATTTAACCCTTGGCTTTTATTATTTAAAACCAGCTTAAAAATGGGCAATCCAGCCAGCGGAGGGCCAAACAATTTGTCAGGCGAGTCCGGCGGATTGGTAAATAGGCCCTTGGTTAAACAACTGTTGGCCACTTAGCGTTTCATTACCAAACGCTGCCGCTGCACAAACAAATTTAACCGTTTCGATCGTCTTTTTTCGGGTTTTCTGGTTTCAGAAGCCGCTTCCGAAGTGCTTTGTCTTAAGGCGGTGCGATCAAAAAACAAAAAAAAATTTCGAAAAAGAAAAGAAAAACAGGAGAAGACTGTTTGACAAGCCAATGGAGCTAAGTGCGATGGTGGCTTTGATCTCCGAGTGGGCTGCCTAATTTATAAAATAAATCATATGTGAATTAGCGGTCAACGGTGGGTAACTCGTTTGCGTTCGACGTCGATTTCCTTTTGATTAATTTATTTGCTAAGCTCCGCTCCACTGCAGCCCATTATGGCCGCGTTGTTGTTCTCGGCGATCGGTAAACGATTTTCACACCTCCCCAGCGGGTTTTCCTTCTGGCTTTCTGGCCATTTGGCCAGCTGATTAGTGGATCGGGCTTTTGAACTAACCGCCGCTATTTATTACCATCCAGGCACTTGTTGTCTAATTGCCAAAGCCACCCGCAATGACACGTCTCCATTTCGTTGGTAGATGACGATGATGAGGTTGCACTGGGAGAAATAAAAGGTGTTCTATATTAGATAAGTGATCTCTTTATTTTTTTAGTTCTTAAAATAAATAAAATATTTTTTCATTTTTATCTTTGCAATTTGGCAAACTCCACAGAACCTATACTTTACGCACAAGTACATTTTAATTGATAATAATTTCTTTGCATTCTTTATTAATTTTTAAACTAAAGCAAGTTATTTTAACAAAGACATTTTTGTATATTTTACTATTTTTAAAATAAATATTTATATATTTATATTTTTCCATTCTAACGATATTGAATAATATTTATGACTTCCTGAAGAATTCGCGCATATATTGACTATCTATTTTTTAATTTAAAACTAAAATTTTTCTCAGTGCATTTCTAGCAATGTCGCGTTCTCCTTTGCTGTGGCATTGGCCAATATGTGGCACTGGGTGAAATCATTGGCATCGTCCGGCGAAAGGAAAGTTTCTCTTCGCGCCTCGATGTTAATTTCGGACCGCCTTTGATCCAAGATCGACGGCTCGGATCGCCTGGCTGGAGTTTCTTCTACGTTTTCGATTTTATTATGATTTTGTTATGATCGTGATCATGATCTAATGATTTGTTGTCGTACAGTTTTCGGCCTGAGCAACGACAGCCAAACAAAAAGGTCCAATCCGCTCCGATAATGATCTGGCGCAATAAAATTGAAATGCGTCTGTTAATCGCTCCGAGATACATAATAATTTTGTGCTCCAAGCAGCCACAATGGCCACGATAGCGAATAATCAAGTTCTGTCGACTGACCGCCGCATATCGATCACTTTCTGGATTTCGGATTTCAGGGGGACTCGGATTCGGACGGAGTACGCAAAAATCACAGCGGCAGATCGAAGGCAAAAAAGGGGTTTCTGACGTCGACTTTTAAACGCTCTACGAAAATATATATTATTATCATCAAAATTATAGTTTTATTTTAGTTCCTTTAAGTATTATTAAGATGTTTCAATAGTAAAGTAATTGTTAGTGCTGGAAAGATTAGTTTAAGAAATATTCATACTATATCATCGTTACTAATTTTGACCTCAAAATAATTATGGAGATACGAGTTATTATACCATTACTATCAATGTTTATAATTACATCCCGATGTCTTGTCAGTTTTATATTAATTAAGAAAGCAAGAACATGATTATGGAACAATTACTCGATCAATTACGAGTTGCTTGTATTATCACTTTCAAGATTATGCTTGTAGGCAACCGTTTCCACGAGCTTTCGCAATTGTTATATATATATTCTATAGTATCTGTATAGTTGAGTCTCTGGGATTGTGCGAGATAAGGCGGCCCAGGGCAATGTCCCGCCGGATTGTAGGGTATTGGGCGTAATAAATCTTGGGCTTTTTGGCCGCCGGCCCTGAGCCAACTCGAATTCAAATGGCCATTGTTTTGGCCAAAGGGCCGACGACAAATTCGGAGAGCAGACTTTCTGGCCTGACTCCTGATAAAAATCGGCGGGCGCAAGCTGCGATCACTGATCACTGATCTCCGATCGACAATATTTATGGCTCAGGAGGCAGCCAGAAAAATGTCTTAGCTAGAAATTAGAGCAATTAGCTTTGAACCGCGGCTGCCACATAAAAAACACACGAATTCCGAATAAAAAAGAAGTAAACTAATCAATTGGAATAGGAATAGTTGATGACCTTTTTTTCCTATCGTGCGGCTACTGTGGGTGTGCCTGTCTCGAGTCTCGGCTTGTAAACAGTTTCACTATCTGATGATTATGTAATTTATAGGGTTCCAGGGATGCCGGCTACCTGTACCGATCCGTCGAGATGATAGTGCCACATAAATAAGTGTGTCTGGCATAAATGTCAAAGGGCATTTAATGAAGTTATTAAACGCTGGGCCCGTAGAACCCGGGGCTACCGTTTTCTTGGAGGGGGCGTGCTCAGTGCAGCTCAGTTCAGTTCGGTTCGGTTTAGTTCGGTGATCATAATCTCAGGACCGAGATCCCCGGGTTCCTGAGTAGGACTGCTTTGCATGGCGGCCGAAACTGGTTGGGCAATAAAACGCTTGCTATAACGAGCAACAAAATTTGTAACGATTCAATTTAAGGCTACATACAACATGAGCCGTACGCCGTCGGCAAAAGATGAAATAGTCGGAATAGGTACGAGTATATCCTAGCCCCCTGCCCCCCCTTTTTTGTGTGTTTTTGGCGCATGTTGAGGAGTCCGATTCCAAGCTCCAACTCCGACTCCGAGCGGCGGTTCAATTCAATGAAATTTATGAAGACATGACTGGCAATTGTAGTCACAGTCCCCGCAACGTCGGCCGAAAACCAGCTCCACAAAAAAACCCAGAGTTCGACGATCCTTCGACGCCTACTTGGCCATTGCGATTACAACTCAATTGTGGCGGGCCAACTCGCAATTGTCAATTGCAATTGATTTTCCAGCCAATATTTCACAATTAATTAAGCGCAAAATTTGTGAACAAAGTCTGGGTGTGTCGGCAGTCCCTCAAAAGGAATGTGTCTACAAGTATATCGCAGGTCAAGACAAGATACGAACTGATTTTCGTATACCTGTACCGCCACAGATCCCTCGATCTTTACTTTTTTTTTTGTTGGGTGTGGACAGGTCAAAGGATGGATAGGTGGATAGCCACCATTGATAGATGCCCCGATATCGTCGAACATCTCTTCCAACTGTGGGAAAACTGGTGAAACTCTGTGGGACTGTCGTTAAATGCGGACATAAAAGAAATTAGCTGGATAGTTTCGGTTTCGGCACTGATATGGCACCGAATTTCGGGTGGTCCAAGTTGGGGTTTTGAAAAGGAATAAAATTTAGACCTTTCTTCGGTCTATTTTACTCCACTTCATGTTTTAAATTATAAAGAGAAATGTTAACTCGGTTTTATTTCCAAATCCTCTTTTATGCTGATGCGATTCTGTATTGGTGAACCAAATCTTCCGGAGAATGTTAATCCATGGCAGTTTCTTAAATATTATTTAATAAATAACACCATATTCTTCAGGCATTATCTAAATTGTTTTTTATTAATTTGCATAGTTTTTTATTTTTTTAATTGTATATAGGGGTAGTATTCCAATCTACTGGGGAATCCTCTGGAATGGGTGCTCCAGAGAGGCATTGGTTTAGTCCCTCGTAGGTGTAGGCAGTGTTCTCCACGTAACTCCTATCAGCATTATTGTTGCAGCTCTCCTGCTGTGTGTCCAAAGTCTGGAGGTGGATCTTGATGCTCGATCCGGCTTCGGTGGCATTTGCCGACACTTGGTACATAGTCTTTGCTTGCTCAGCTCCCTACAAAAAATATACCAAATTTTAAAATGATATAGTATAGCGTAGTTCTAGTTCCAATAAAATAATTCGGATAAAGGAGATGATTATACATCTGAGAATTATAGTTAGGTATAGTTTAGGCCAACTTACCACGTCGGCGAAGCACTCAAAGGCCTGGACGTAGTCCACAATTGAGGAGCAGTCGAAGAAGGTTGTGCAGCCGCTATCCCCAGCCGCCTGGATGCCATAAAGAGTGCTGTTCCAGGACTTGAGCACCAGGTCACTGGCGGTGTCATAGTTCTTTTGGCACTGGGCATAGGCCACCTCGTACTGGATTGTCACACTGTTGAGAACGGGGATGTAGTAGTCGAAGCAGGACTTCGAACTAACAGGATTTTGAGCAGCCAGGACTTCGGTCTGTTGCTGAAGACCAAGGACTTTCTTGTTGGTGGGCAACTTCAGCTTCGATGGACTTAACTTGAGAGTAATGCTTAGGCCAGAAACCAGGCCAAAAGCAAGTACCACTGCCAACAAAGATGCTCTGGAGAACATTGCTAAAAGTCTCAGTTTCAACTTCTTAATGGATAGCTTCGGTGTTAAACACAACGCTTTTATATCTTTTATTTGAGCTTCTTATCTTTTTCGGTCCTAATTGCCTCTTGTTATCGGAAGTGTCAAGTTTTAGTACTCTTTTGAATCGAATTTTGGTAATAAGTTAATAATTTTTAATTTATCTGCGAACGTGGTAAATTACATTGTTCGGAAATTGGTTCTCGAGAATCTCGTTTGCAGTTCAGTAACTCACAACCCTCCGAGAAAATTGCAATAAAAAAAGTTCTTGCTTTTTAAGTTTGAGTACAGAGAATAGCAGGGCTCCAGACTTCTTAACAAATTTCATAATTTCTTAATGATTTAAGATTTACGTTTTTATATCAAATTGTCTTAAAGAGGTTATAGAAATTTCCATTCATTGTTTTACTGGGTACCCGACTTTAAATATTAATGACCGTGAAATAGCCGGTCATTTGCATGAATAAAATATTTTAAAAACTAAACTGTTGATAGGTGATGATATTTAAAACATTTTTAACATGAATTCCTTACTGAGTTGATTGTGTTTGATAATAACTGCAGTTTTACAAAATCTTTGTAAGGTAGACGACTCATCAATTCAAACATAATGACAGTAATATATATTATGCCCTTAAGTTCTAACTTTTGGCAACAGTGTACAATAAATAATATAAAACAAATGATTTCTGCAGATGTTCATTTTTTTTTACATATTTAATTTGACGTTGCACACGGCTTAACTATAGAAGCATAATCATAAAATACATTTCCCGTACTGAGAAGCTGTAAAGTCGGGAGCAATACTGAACCTCAATTTCTTCGGGCGAAATTCTGATGAAAGCATCAATACAAGTTTGCCCCAAGTTTCGACAAAAGAGATTTCTAGGTAACCCCCAATTAAGCAATTCGATCTGGAACTAACGAAAATGTAATATATTACAACTTTTCAAATAGCATTGAATAACATTCAGTAAAACGCAAAAAATTAGATTGCCTGATTTTTCTTTATTAAACTCTTTATAATATGTACATTTTTATACTATCCTATACTTTGGCTGTTGCTGTTTCGAAGGTTCCGTTCTGGAGGCAGTGATTCAACCTTTCATAAGTGTCGGCCGTGTCCTCCACATAAGCTCGCTGGGCATCATTCGTGCAACTCAACATTTGGCTTTCTAGAACACGATACTCCTCCTTGATCTTGAATGCGATCTCCGTGGCATTTGCCGAAATGCCGTAGAAGGTTTTAGAGCTATCACCAGAATTGATGGAGGCGCATTCAAGGCGGGAGACCACGGTGTCCAGGGCCTGTTGCTCAAAGGTCCACACCTGGCAATTGGTACTGGGATACGAGCAACCGATATTGGCAGATCTCAAGATATTCTCGCGGTCCTGTGAATACTTTGTATTGACCAAGGCCGTGGAGTTGTCAAGGGCGGAAATGCAAGCCCCATAGTTGATCTCGAACTCTTCTGCAACATTGGCCAAAATGGGTTTGTAGAACAAGAAGCAACTGGTGGAGAAATCCGAGTGGGTTGCAGCCAGTTCCCTGCTCTCCATCTGCAGCTCCTGGATGTGGGCATCCGGTTTAATGGGAATATGCAATTTGAGAGCCAGCGAGAGGCCCAAAAAAAGGCAAAACACCAGGATCTTGGATTGTTTCACAAACATCTTGGCCAGATAACTTAGCCGAAATGGTTGAACCAAGCAGTATTTATACGGAGAACCACCCGCTCTACGCTATCTTTTTAATTACACATCAATGTATGGTATGTTCAATTACCGATAATATTGGGTTCAATGGTTGGCAATGTTATAGGAAATATATAAGAATTTTTTTCAAAACCCTTAGATGTTGATTACCTCAATTAAGTGTTGCTTAAATGTAGTGATACAATGATAATATATGATATAATGATAATATATTGATACAGAATGTTAATGTAGAATTGATAATAGATATATAAGGAACTTTTTAATTTATTATAAATATAAATCTAACAGCTGTCTTTATGTTCTTCCGGTTAAATAGCTTATATCTGATAGTATAAATTAAATCGCTGTCCACACTAAACACCAATAAATAAAACAATGTTCAATCAACGGATTATATTTGAAGCTATAGAACAGACAGAAATATAAAGTGGATCTGAATTTTAGCTTGACTTTTACAACACATAGTTGGTAGTGGGCATTTCCCAGTTAGGATCACCTAGACAGGAGACCATATCCGAGTAGCACTCGCCGTGATTGATGCTATAGGTTCGGTAGGCCTCCGTATGGCAAATAGAACGAGTGGCTTGGATCTCAGACACTTTACCCTGCAGGCTAGTTTGGTTATCGGCTGCCTTGTAGGAAGCTTGTTCCAGTTCCTTAGATGCGGAAGGTCCCTGTCATTAAATGAGAAATAATATAATATAAGATCTCAAATAAAAGTGAATATTACAAAAATCGATGAAGCTTCGAACAAACTTTTGAATGCCCTTAAAAAATTACGTTGAAAAACCAAGCTTCGTCTTTTTTTGCTGATCACATTATATGTTGCATACTTTTTGTCACCCTTATAAGAGATTTGAAACCTCATATAATGTGGAAGTTTGTTTTTTTTTTATCACTTACCCCAAGGGCCAGGCACTCGAAGGCATCGTAGTTTAAGGACTTGCCATCGCATGCCAGCAGGGAAACACAGGTTTCCTTTACGAAATTGGACAGTTCGTTCCGGGCGTAAGCGAAACTGGCGTCGATCAGGGAGTAGGCGTTCTCGTAGTTGTAGTTGCACGTGTTGAAATCCTCGTTGTACTTATCGACGTGCCCCTTCAGAAGCGGGGAGTAGTAGTCCACGCATTCAACGTTAAAGATATCCGATCGCATGGCCGGGGAACTGAGCAGGATGTTCACCAGCGAGCTTTCCGCCTCGATTTCGATGGGAGTGGGCACCGAAGATACGTAGACGGCGCCAATGGCCAGGAAAAGAACCACAGCCTTGAACATCATTTTCACTTTCACCACTTGAAGAACCTGACAAGAGTGTGGAGCCCAAAGACCCAGATTTGCCTTTTATACCTCCCTCGCCACCCGAAAAATAGATTTCTGAGATTTACGATCCAGCATTTATCGGGTGTAGTTTTTATTTAACCTTTATTATCATGACGCTTCGTTGAAAGCTCGTCATAAAACTGATATCAGTTAAACCCCCGAAAATTAACTCACCACTTTCCATTTCTTTCCCATAATATTTTTATAAATATTTTATAATTATATATTAATATTTTCTTTGTCTAAACATAAGAAAAAGATCACATGTCACGGTTTTATCCGCCTCGTGAGCTTGATTGTCTATTATTTTGTTATCTAAGGCAAATAAATTATCACCCGAATTTTAATCTTACCAACGGAATGGGCTTTTCTCCAGAATTGGCTGGTTATTTTTAATTAGTCATTTCACTTATTTATAATTGCATCCCATTGCAGTCCCATAGAAATCAAAATTGTAGACAATATTCATATATTTGCTTATAAATTCTAGAAAATTGTATATATATATATAACTCGGTTTCATTTTCATTCATACTCCATTATCATGACCGTGATTAAAGTTCGCAACAAAGTGGTATCAATGAGCGCAACGAAATTCTCAGAATTTGTTTATCTACAATGATTTAATACTATTATTTATTATTTAGAGTGAAAAATGCTATAAAAGGTTTATCTAAAAATATGGTAATAAGTTTTCAATTCGTAATTTGTTGCACATTCCCTATGACTCCTAACATTGGTTCTGGGATTGGGAAAGGAAGGTCAACTGGTTGGGCATAATAATAAATTTCACAATCTTTTCAATTTTTTGGGATGCGTGGGGAAGTTTCTTTTTCAGCAGGGTACAAACCGATCGGCAACGAAGAAAGGAACAAATGTTTATGTAAAATATGTGACTATTGAAGTTCAGCAAAACATGCTACCTTCTCTCCCTTTTCTTCTCTTTATTTTTATGTTATCCATCCTAAATTCAGCTAAAAAATGCAATGTTTTTGAATCAAGGCGCCATGTGTTCTTCCTCTTCATGAAGATGAGTCATATTTTTCCTAATCTGGTAACACCAACCTCGTCTACAAGTAAAATTTTTTTATTTTTTTAAAGTAAAGTAAAGTATTTACTTCTCACTTTACGGTCTGGCAACGCTTGATTCTTTTAATTTGCCAGTGGCAACGCTTAATTTTTTTAATTTCAGAGAAATTTTAAAATATGGTTTGGGTCCAGACTAAGTTCGATGGGTACACATTTTTACTTCCAGAAAAAGCCGCTAGAGGCGCCATACTTTAGGCGTTTGTAAAATGTAGAATTGAAATGTTATTTGTAAGCAACACTTACATTTTTGTAAGCTGTATCTTACACGTAGTGTAATTTACATTTAAAGATGAGAAACTAAAAATATGTAGTTATTTTTAAAACGTGCTTAGTACAAAATCAATAAATATGTGTTGTGAGAAGTCTCTTCGGAAATTGACTACATCGCATTTTTTTTTTTGATGTACATTACCATTTTTTATATATTATGGTCTAGTATTTTAAATAAACTGCGGTATTAAATGTTATACAATAGGTATTTTCTGAAACTGAACTGAGTGGTATTTGTTTTCAGCCCGGATGGTATTTTTATCGTTTCCGGCGAGGTCACACTAATCACTTTGTTAATCAAAATATTAGAAAAACTCCATTTCCGCCTTAAAAGTGCAGCTCGGGGTCGTGCGAAAGTGTAAAATAGCGGGCGACTGGTTCGTTAATCTTAAAAGCGCTAAGGGGCGATGAAAAACAACCAGAAACACACCGTTTTTTGTTCTTAAACTTTTACTTACGGCAGACACGCACACGCACGCAGCTCACCGACGCACACTCACACACACACAGTCGCACGCGGAGAGAAGAGCAGCAAGGCAGAGGAAGAAGAAGACCATCAAACTTAAAATTTGCGAGGTGAAAATTACGAGAACGAAGGTTTTCCCAGCGCCAAAGTTCATAAATCGCGAGTGCGTTTTCATTAACAACATTTTTCCGGATTTATTTACCCCGCCATCCGGCCCCCCGCTCTTGTGAAAATGGGACTGCCAACTTGCTCTTATTTCTCGTCTTTTTTTTGTGAATGGGCAATTTTTTGTGGATGCTGCCGCGCGCAATTTTTCCGATTTTCCTTCAATTGTGTTTTACACCCACTTTCGAGTGCTAAATTTAGTCACCCAAGCGAAAGGACGAAGGCGCGTCCTTGATAAATCAATGTGCCAAAAGGGAATGCAAAAGAAGCGAAGGGCAGAAAGGAAATAACGGTGAAAAGCGTGGGCGGCGCGCTGCCTCGAGGACTTCCGCCCCGCCTCTTTTGTTTATGTTTCCGTGTCCTTGCAGTCGGTTTCAAATTATTGTTCAGAAAGTACCGTAAACTTGCCAAGGAAGCCCTATAAAGTCCGTACCATAAATTAATTATGTAGCGCCAGCTGACTGAAACTCAGAATTCCCATGTTTTTACCGGTTTATTAATACGAACTACATTATATAGTCCTTTAAAAGTTTAGTATAGGACAGGCCCTTGAAAGATGAGCATATATAACATTTTACAAAAGAATATAGCATTCACAAGAACTAGGTTTGTCTTGATAAATATAAACGTATTCTGTATCGCAGAGTTATCCCCCTTGACTTCCTATATTTTAAGACTCATTTAAGTCAATACTTCCACGAAACATTTGAAATAATTACTTCACGTTTAGTTGAAATCAAAGTACTATGAGTCAACTTAGTTTCCGAGGAAATTTGTATGAAATCTAATTAAAGAGCCGCGACCCGCACTTCCCGTTAATGTCGAAAAAATCCAGTCTATAAGATTGCCTTTAATTTAATAAGTTATAACTATTCTTTCTCTTATGGTATGGTATAATGAAAGCCAAAGGGAGCAGTCATTTACTTGTCTAAAAACATTTAACAACCTTATTTTTGTGTACCCATTCGAGAAAGGTCAAGTTCAAGGCTTTGTTTATTGATTGGCATTCGTTTAATGGTCCCACACCCTTGTATCCTCCATCCGTAGATTCCTTGGCACCGGCTGAGAGGACGAATTGCACCCGCCCGGCACACAGCACACAGCATGTTCAGTGGACATGGGCGGATTCCTGGATAAGCCGAAAACCGCCAAGCACAATGACCAGGGCGAGGGCAACAAGCTGCTCTTCGGGGTCAGCTCGATGCAGGGATGGCGGTCCGAAATGGAGGACGCCTACTACGCTCGTGCCGGGCTGGGGGATGTTCTGCAGGACTGGAGCTTCTTTGCCGTCTTCGATGGACATGCCGGAGCCAAGGTGTCCGAGCACTGTGCCAAGCATCTTCTGGACAGCATCGTCAGCACCGAGGAGTTCATTGGGGGCGACCACGTGAAGGGCATACGCACCGGCTTCCTGCGCATCGACGAGGTGATGCGGGACTTGCCGGAGTTCACCCACGAGACGGAGAAATGCGGCGGCACCACCGCCGTCTGCGCCTTTGTCAGCCTCACGCAAGTGTACATCGCCAACTGTGGGGATTCCAGGGCGGTCTTGTGCCGCCAGGGAGTTCCGGTGTTCGCAACGCAGGACCACAAACCCATTCTGCCGGAGGAAAAGGAGCGCATCCACAATGCCGGCGGCAGTGTTATGATAAAGCGCGTAAATGGCACCCTTGCCGTATCGCGAGCTCTCGGGGATTACGACTTTAAGAACGTGAAGGAAAAGGGACAGTGCGAACAGCTGGTGTCGCCGGAACCGGAGATATTCTGCCAGAGCCGTCAGGATAGCGATGAGTTCCTGGTGCTTGCCTGCGATGGTATATGGGATGTGATGACCAACGAGGACGTGTGCAGCTTCATCCACTCGCGAATGCGGGTGACCAGCGACCTAGTGAGCATCGCCAACCAGGTGGTGGACACTTGCCTGCACAAGGTTAGTCATTGTTTCGTTTAATACCTACCGGTCTCTAACACCTTGACTATTTTTCAACTGCAGGGTAGTCGCGATAACATGAGCATCATCATCATTGCCTTCCCCGGAGCTCCGAAGCCCACCGAGGAGGCGATAGAGGCTGAGCATCGGCTGGAGAAACAAATCGAGAAGATCACAAGAGGTTGTCTAAGTCGTCTACTCTGTTTATAACTAATCGTAAACTGTTGATCCATGGCGTAGTGGCCTCCTCCGACTCGGTGTCTTTAGCAAACCGAAATACGTATACGTTGTACCTTGAGTGTCACGAGCACTTTTTACATGAGCTATTTAATGGCCAACAGCCCCGACCCAAAGACCTAGAGTTGAATTTGCCCGACTTTGTTCAAAATTTTATTCCGACAAAATAGTTCCTTCCAATAGTAGTTTCGAAACGAAAACAATATCAAAACGAACACCGAACCATTGCAATAACTAATGCCAAGAATGACCCCGCACACACCCACCTGTAATACAGTAAAGGCTCTCTGGCAGATCCTTTTAATTTCACAAATTTATTAATAGCAATAAGGTTTATATCCTGTTTAAAGGCCATTTAATTTGATCATTTAATTTTGTCTTACGTTTCCTTTAAACTCTATTGAGATATAACAAGTAGTTATATTTAATGCCTATGAAACTTAAAAAGGATATTTATAGGTATAGCGGTTCATTAAGATTCTTGCAGTTATAGTGTTCTTTTGAAGTGTATTACATAATTTGAGCCATTTTTTGTCAGGGCTTATAATATTTATCCTTCAGAGTATATTTAGTTGTACTCCTCTAGAGAGCTTTCACCGTATACCCCTGTATAAATATGTAAATGGGGGTGTGTGTGGGCGTACTACCAATATCCTATTGCTAATGCATAGCAAATACCTATATAGCGTGTTAGTTTGTCATATCTGGTGGCTGTGCGTGTGGCTGACCAGAGGAACCTCTGCCGTGTGTGTGCCTGAGTTATAGTATTATTTATACATGCCCGTGTATACTACAGCCACTGCCAAAAGCGTTCCATGTATGCGAAAATCCAGCCCATTTAGCTTTAGACTTACATATACACCTAAATAATAACAATTATCGACGAACCTGCCCGAGCTAAGTAGTTAAACGACCCCGTCAGCCAGTTTGTATATACATTTACGTATACGTACACCCCATTTGATACTAGCCACGAAGCAAATCAATCAAACAAAATTGCAATATTTAACGTACGCAGGTATTGACACTCAAAACAAACACTTGGAATTGATGTAACTCGTAGGAATAGCGTATTAACACTTATTTTCTAAGCAAAAACGGATAGGATATCTTCAAAGAAGATTCGTTGTAGATAGATTGTAAATAAGCTGAAAAGCTGACAGAAACCTTAAACCAAAGCAATGAAATCATATATTTTATTAACTAGCAACTGCTCAGACGAACTGTAGTCGTATTACATGGATTATGTATAGAAAGCAATAAATACTAGAGAGGAATTATTCCGAGACTTCAGTATTCGAAACACCAAAGTGAATTTCGGCCGATATCCAGAGGCCGAGCTTCAGACGTGACCTTGTTGATATAGACAAATACTTTAGCCCAATTCGTACGATTTACAATTAGTGAACTAGTGAATAGAATTAGAGCATGCATTGCCCACCACAGATCGTAGTAGATAAACCAATAACGAAATTACCTAGTATAAGCAATTAACCAAAGATGGCAAATACTCAATGTCCAGACAAATTACTTAGCTAGAGTAGACTAGCCAAAGGGTTTTGAATGATACGTATACTTAGATTAAATTAATCCGAATTGTAAACCTTATGCTCACCAACTGTTGTGCTTGTTGCTATCGAAGGCAAACGATTACTTTACCCGAAACGATCAAACATATTCCACACAATCTAAGCAATTCCCCCGAAATGTTGTATACGGGTTCATTGGCGAATTGGTGATGCAGCCAAGAGTGTAAGACACACACAATCCACATCCCAACATACACGTTTTATAGTGATTAATGAATTAACACAGATGCAAGTCAAAAATATAACTTAACGAACGATTCGAAAACCAAAGCAAAAGTGTTTGTCTGATGTTCTATTGGATTCAGTTTTCAGTTCTCATTTGGTTTTCATTTGCTTCTTTCCATATTCTTTTCACACTTCACAAAGCGGAAAATCAGTTTTTCTTGTTATACTTTTACTCATTTTGAAAACAAAGCCCTACAGATCATTTATTTCTATTTATTTCATTACTTTTCCTGATTTATTAAGAGCCAGATTCAACTAATGCATAACGTTTATCTAAAGTAATTTGTCAAAAGGAAAATTTTAGCAATTCGCTGTCGTTGTTTTATGGTTGTTGTTCGCGCCTCGTACTACAAAACCCCAATTTCTAATATACTATTGCCAAATCAAAGCGCGAATTAGCCAAATGGGCCAAATGTCAATGCAAGAACAAGAAACAGAAAGCATTTCAAATTTAAGATGAGTGAGCATAAGGTACGTCTATAATTTTGTAGTTTGTAAACTTTCGAAAGCCACTTTGTCATTTTGTTATCGTTTATCTTATCGATTGATTGGTTTGATTTTGTTTTGCCTACACCCGAGCTCCGCCCCGCATTCAACAAGTTGCTATCTGTGTATTAATTGTAAAAAGCGATCCACACAATCCAGAAGATAATCGAAATTGCATGCCCCCGTCAGCCACAATAAAAAAATGGAAAAAATTAAACAACAAAATCACTTAAAATGTTATTCGCAATCCGTTTTAAAGATTCAATTTCTTCCCTTGTTTAGGAATCCTTTTTTCAATGTTTTTATTTATAATTTAATCAAATCAACTTTTTTTTCCAAAAATTGATGTATTTAAAATCATTATAAAGTTGCAAAGCCTCGAAAACTTAATTATTACGCAACACGGTAGACTTATAGCCATTTTCTTCCCATCAACCTGCATCAATTTTATTATATTCCCTTTTTAAAAATCGCTTGAGATGGGATATTCCGTTTAAGTTGATATTTTATAACAGAGTTCATAACTGTATACTGCATTTGATTCAAAGTAGCTTAACTATGTAATTCGTATTTTTTATGAACCATTTATGTACATAAATATTTATTTATAATCGTCTTTTAAGCTAAGATCGGGTCTGTTAATCGACCTGAAACTAACCACTGCCTTTTCTCTGATATTGTTGCAGACGAGATAGAGTCTAGCAAGATAACCCACTACGTGGATCTGCTGAAGTGTCTGCAGAACAGAGACGACATCGAAGGTCTTCCACCCGGAGGCGGCCTGCAGTCCAAGTAAGTGGATCATGTCCGAAAATAGCGTCCATAGATTGCTAATCACTTGTGTTTACCCTTGCAGATATCACGTTATCGAGCGCACATTCAAGCAAGAGTTTCCGGATCGACCATGTGAAGTACGAAATCTGTTCTATAATCTATAACTTGGTTCGCTGCGCTTTCGCCAATGCTAACACATTTATTTTTATCGCTTGCATAGCACCGTTTTTTGGTCATTATAGCCTTTGAAATTGCCTTGTTTTTTTCTGATTCAATCAGTAGATCGACACCAGGGGATTTGGTAATGATTGAGCTATCAGTTTCATTCGATCGTCACCATTAACTCACACTGTTATCGTCCCATGTTTAGTTGGGGTTCCCCCTCGCCCATGACTTGTAACCTCTAATCATGGCCACCTATTCTCTTTCTTTTTTCTAGCTGTATGCATATGATGATATATGAATTTTGTAATGCTAATTGTTCATTTTTAAACCAACAAATACCAACAACCAACCAACCAGCAAGAGAACAAAGATAACTTAACACCCTATGCTTCACATACTCTAAATGTAAGGCGATAATTCTTTATGTTGCTTGTCTCGGCCCCTGATCATCGACCTCCATCCATTCTGTTTCGCTTTGTTTCGTTTCATTTGTTTCAAGACCTGAGAGTACCGCATGTATGTTCCTGCATGTTCCATCTTTTTCAACCCGCTTCCGTTTCCGCTTCAGCCGCAAGCCTGCATCCTGCATGAAAACCAACGGTCCTAACCAACCGGCTCCCCATCATGGTCAATAATCGAGATATTTGTTATTCTTGCAGAGTCCAACGCATTAGGTTGCAGTCGAAACACTAAACAAATCCAGTTAAACAAATGCAGCAACCAGATCAGAACAGAAAGCAGAGCCACACAACTTGAACGAAGCAAACAAACAAACAAGAACACACACCAAACAGTTTTCTACTTTGATAAACACAAAAGAAAAACCTACTAATAATGATAATAATAAGAATAACGATACATTTATAGTTTATACGAAGCAGTCCTAAACACAAGAATACGAACAGCCGCGCCCCACATAACTCGATGATAAATAAAAGATCTAGAACAGAGCGTACCTGAGCAGACCTCAGAGAACCCGATATCGGATCCGAATCAGTGGATGGCACCAAGCCAGCATCAGGACCACACCCAACAGATTAGTCCGATCAGATCCCTCTGAAGGACCCATCCATCTATGTGAATGTTAACCCTCTGTGTGCCCTATCGTTCCGTCACTCCTCATCAATCAGCAATCACCAGTACAACCGCCAGAGAAAAAACCAATTGAAAATGTGGAAACTAATGTAATTAAAAACAGAGGACAGTTATAAAATGCGAGAGTCTCTCGCTCAAATTTTTGTGTAAAAGAACTTTTTATTTTTTCAAAAAAAACATGTATTAACTATTGATTCCGAAACGCATGCGGACTTTTGTAAGTTGTAAAATGTTTGTTACCGAAAACACTTTTTGTTCAACATTTTGTATATGTATATGAGAAGATGTGTCGACAAGCCTGAAGCGAAACTTAATAATGTAAAGTAAAAAATGTTAAAACAAAACCAGAAAAAAAATGGTAAAAGAAAACCAAACTAGCAAACAAAACCTGTAACTATCTATAAACGGAAACGAAGAAAAGTAATACCTAAAACCTAAAGTAAGCAAAGCAAAACAAAAGCAAATCCACAATAATGTCCGATCTTAAAGAAACGAGAATGAAACTAAGAACTATTAATTTATAAGAAGCAAGTTGATGATGAAAATCTTAAGAGAGAAAAGCAAAATTACGCTCGAGTTTGTAGTAAATGTTGAAAAAAAACCCATCCCAGTTGTTAATCAGTCAATTGATCCATCTGTACAGTGTACCAGTCGTATCACCTCCAGAAACGACAGGTGTTGTCCTTCGAGGCGGTCAGAATGGCATCGCCTGCATAGCTGTAGGCACAGCTGAACACTTCTCCCTCATGACCAGCTAATACTTGGGAGCACTGTCCGGATTCAGTGAGCCACAGTCGGGCCGTATTATCCGCTGAAGCTGAGAGCAGCATGCAACCACTGGGACTGAAGCACACCTTGGACACCTCATCCGCATGTCCTGCCATTAGGGACAGCATCTCCAGCTCCGAAGATCCTTCCAGCTTCCAAACCCTCGCCGTGCAATCGCTGCTGCCGGTGGCCAAAAGTCTGCCAGCCGCATCAAAGCTCACGTCCAGCACCTCGTCACTGTGCTTGGCAGCCAGATAAAGTTCCTGATCCATCTTCCGTATGTCCCATACCCTCGCTGTGCCATCCAGCGAGCCAGTGGCTATAAGGGACCCACTAAAATTCCAGATGCAGTTGGACAACTCGGCGCTATGGCCACGCAACTGATGGCAGAGACTGTAAAGGGGATTCCTTGTGAAGATCTTATTTGTAATGCACGATCTAACCCACCTCTTGCTCCGCACATCGCAAATAGCTGCCGTGTGATCGAATGAACCCGTGAGCAGCATCTGACCATCGCGATTAAACCTAGCGGCAATCACCTCGGCACCATGGTGGGTGAGTTGCTGGAGTTCATGGGACGTTTCCACATCGTAAATCCGGGCTGTTCCATCCATGGAGGCCGTGGCTATGGAATTTCCATGCATGGGATCGAACTCAGCCGCCACCAGCTCTGCAGTGTGTCCATAGAAGGTGCACAAGCACTGACCACTGCTGGCGGACCAAACCTTGGCGGTTCCATCAAAGGATCCAGTTACTATCTTGTCGCTGAAAAATATTTGAGAACAAGTGAGGATTAGATACCATCCTTCAATAGAAGAATATTACTTGATTTTAATTATTAAAAAGGTGTATCCTAGATAGAATTTAAGAAGTATTGCTCTTTTTTTGTTTAGAGAACCTACCAATGAGGAGTATTAAAACCCACTGAGAACACCACGTTGTCGTGGCCAGTGAGGATGTGTTCCACCTCCGCCGTTTGGGTGTTGATCACATGGCAGGTGCGATCGTAACTTCCGGTGAGACAGCGCTCGCCACTTCGATCGAAGGACACATTGGTCAGCGGAAGGATGTGTGAATTGTGGCACTTGTGCAGATAGAACTTCTTTTTCACAGGCTCGCGCAGTTTCTTTTGAAGTTTTTCCAGAGCCTGTTTCAAGGCACTGAAGGTGTTTTGAGATCTGGCGACACTTCCGCTGACAGGACGAGGTGGAGAAGTCTTCTCAGAATCCGTGGGAGATGGGTCCTCCTCCGCTTCAGCCAGGGTTTCAAGTAGAATCCTATCTGCCAGGGGTTCAATGTTTGCTCTACAGCGTAAATATATATTTAAAAACTTAAATGCCAATTTCCCTAAAATCACCTTACTTTGGATCTAGGTCAAGAAGATCGAAATGACGCAGTCGTTCATTGCCCTTGGTTGTTCGATAATTTATGGCCAGTCCTAGGATAAGCCAAGTATAAGTGATATATATTTAAGCACTTGGTTTAATGACCTTTCCCACCTGGCGGATAGTAGCGCAGAAAGATTTTGTTGGCACTCATTGCGAGGTTGTTGTGACTCTGGCAACCGGGAAATTCCTGAACAGCGAATTCGGCGGGCTGTCAGTTTGCTGACCTGCTTTAATTCAGCCTTTGTTGATTTGACTGGCTGCCATGCCAAAAGCATAGTTTGATCGATTCACCTTGGGTTCCTTGTACTAGGTCTATGTCGAGGTCTCGAGGGTGAGCCTTTCAAGGATGTAGGGTAATGGTATTCAGATTGTATGCAGGAATTTTTGAAACTTTTCTAGCGACATATCTATTTTGTTGGTGTGGCTTGGCATTTATTTGAAATAAATAGAGTGTTTTTCTTATCAGAGCTTTTCTAACAAAAAAGCTTTCGTTGACGGGTTTTCTACTTAGCCATTGAAGAAACCCTAATAAATACGTAGAGTACTCATGTAAGTTTAATTTTTGTAATTTACCTGATAGAAAAATCTTTTTGAATTCCTAATTGAAAGTCAAAATAATTCTAAATCCTTAGGAGCAAACTTTTTTCTTTGATATTTTGGTCCAAAGAATTTCAAAAAATATTATTTGAGTTAGGAACAGAAATGATGTTGCTTATAGAATGTATTGCTTTGTCATTGTGTTTTAATGTTTTAGGAACAAATTTATTGATTCTTTTTTTTCCTAGGACATGTCAATTTAAATATCGATAAAAAGCACATGACTAATTAACTTTTCCTGTCCCGCACTGGTGCTGTCGACAGCAACTACTCGGTGAACCCTCACTAACCCTTGACCTACGATTGTCCTTTGGGGAGCCCGAACCCCTTTGGCATTTGACAGGCAGACCAGGAGCGACCACCTAAATGGTCTCTGGCCATTAAACCTAATTAGCTTGTTTAAGATGGGAAAAGGAAGCCCTGGAACCCCAGAGGCCAATTGGCTGCCGACACCTGGTGGCATTTCTAGCAGATTTAACATATGTCCCACGTGGCCAGACGCAAAACCCAAACCGCACCTACAATTAGATTGCTTCAGCTGGCTCCTTCGCCTCGTTTCGTCATTTTCACTAATTTAATTTGTTCAGTAATCGCTGCATAGGTTTGGGGAAAGCAGGCGAACGGAATTGTTAGACAGCCACAGGACGAAAGTCCTGGAGAATCGACTCAGACGCCCAAGGAGCGTCCATTAGCCAGCCGAAAAAAGGCAAGCAGGAGAGATTTTCGGGAACGAGGGTGGTGGAAAAGACCACCCCACCTGACCATAGCCAATAATGATAAGTAATGATTAGATATTATCGCACCCAATTTCGGTGCCCAGCAGAGGCACAACTGAAAGCGACAGGCGGACGTTGAACAAAGAAAAACTAAATGGACAGGGAAAATGGGAGGAAATCTTGAGAGTACTGAGAAAAAATATGATCACTTAAATACCATAAGAATTATATCGGGGAAATATGATACTAACTAAACAGGAACTGTACCGTTGAGTGATTTTAAGTTTTGTATTAGGGGTCTTACTTGGAAAGGACTTTAAACTAAACATTTTTTCTGTTATGGATCTAACATTGTAATATTAAATTTAATATGATATCAGACTAACAATTCTAATTAAAAATTGGATTTGATAAATTGGGTATCTGAATAATATTTTTAAATGATGATCTAAAAATATAACCTGTTTTAGGCTAATTTCTATATAGGGTTTTCCTCGGTGTGTTAGAAAATTGCGCAGAAAACTTGTGTGGGTGGGAAAAAGAACAGTGCGATAAGAGGGCGAGAGTCTGTGTCTTTGTCAATAATAAAACATTTCATTGAATGTCCATTGAACGGCGAATGACACGGGGGAAATGACAACATGCCGAGGATGTGGAAATGGAAATGGAGACGGGGGCCTGGGATCCTTTTAGGTGGACAGCAGGCACCTGGGAGGAGGTCATCCGTACTCCAATCACCCCACCCAACCAATCATCTGGCTGGCGGTGAACAAAAGCAACAGCTGTGTTCCTCCACCGTTTTCATCTCTTCATCTGTATGCCCAATGTAATTGGGACACCCACAAACGGAAGCTTTAAGGAAATCAGAGTCGAATAAATGAGAGTACGAATGGAAATGAAATCAATTTAAAAGCCCATAAAACGCTTTCATAAACAAAGCAACAGTCGGGGGCAGAAGAAGAGCATCGGTCGGATTTGAATTTATGCCCAATAAATTTTTGTTGATTTCCGGCTCTGTGTTTGAGTTTGTGTGTGCGTGAGCCATGAAAATGCGGCGTTGCATAAATTATGGACATATGAGCCTTACCTTTTACCAAAAGCATCTCGGAGGAGCACAACAAAAAATGATTATTGCCGCATTTTATGGGTGTTTGCTCGACATTTTGAGAGCCGGGTTCCTCGTTACCCATTTTGCCAGAAAATAATGCTTGAGTGGCACAAACTTCGAGAGACCACACATTTTCTAAGCCGATAGACCACTCGAATTAGAGGGATGCCAGCTGCCCCAGAAACCCCACCATATCGAGGCCATTTATAAACAGATTTTCGGTTTGTGTTTGACTAAGCGACATAAAATTCGATTTTTGTTTTCCTTTCCGCATGTCCTGCCCGCGGTTGTTTGGGAACTTGTTTTATTTTCCTTGTTTTTTTTTTATTGACGTGTGTGGCCGGTTTTCAGGTTTTTAGCTAAAAGGAGTCGTTAGTGGCTCTCTAATTGGAGAGGGAGACTGGCTGGTCGGCTGGACATCAAACGGTTGGTAATCGAATTGCCGTGGCATGCGGCACTAAAATCATTTTCACAGATTTCGGAGCGGAAGCATCGCCCTCTGAGTGGTAGTTAACTGGGTGGACTGTATTCAATTTTATGCATATTTGTTTACTGTGCTCTTTACTTTCGGGTTGGTTCCTTTGATCAGTAAAAACAAATAGGAAAGGGCACTTTTTTTAATAAACTTTCATATGATACTTCCCTTGACCAGATCTCAATCATTTTAATAGATGGAAAGTATTATATCCAAAAAAACTCGTCTCGGAAACCACCTTAGTCTTTAATAATATATATCTAAAATTCTCTTAACCAAAGTATAGTTCGGCAGTAGATTTCCCTTTGGTTAGACACATTTTTGAAGTCAATAAACAACCTACAAACCTAAACCTGTGCGAATCCCCATTTATGACGCATTCTGCGGCTTAGCCATTGGAAAGTTTATGACTTTGATAAATTAAATTGTGTTTGGCCTAAAACACACAACCAGCAGTGAGTTTTCCTGGCTATCCCTTAGGTTTGAATATATCAAAATCTGAGTTTGGCCCGGCAGCCAGGCAACCGACTAAAGTTTATGGCCAAATTGTGTGCAGGCTGGAAACCTTAAACCGTTTTGCGCCCAATTGAAATGCAGACGCATCGAAATGTTATAAAATTTAATAATGGCCCTCTGTGCAGGTCGTGTGTGTGTGCGTGCTCATGTTTTGAAGTTTTATTGTGGGCTTTATAAGAATGGCAGATGAGGAAGTTCGGCAGGCAGTTTGTGTGGTTTAGCGGCCGCATCAAGTATACGCACCATAAATCAGGGTCAGCGCCGGCAGAAGTTCCCTTTTTTCGGGCCCAACGACGTATTAAAGGCATTAAACTCGCTCTTAAATCGCCAACATGGTCGTTCGTCATAACGGTAAGTGGTGCTTAAAATGAATTATGCATTGCCGTCGGTTGATATTATATTAAATCATATATACGGGTCGCCAGTCCTCCACGTGTGTGTTTTTAAGGAGCGATTGCGGCCCACATTCGTTGGCCGAGATTTTCCTGCCATTAACTGCTCCCAGTTCAACTGATTCAACTGGCGAATGGTCGAAAGATGAATGGCATGTTAATTTGTGCGCATTATATTGGCCATTAATCTCCACCGATTTCTGCGGGGCCTCGCTTTTGCCATCAACTGCGGCTTTAGCTACGAATGCCATCGGTCGCCTGCACTTGACACCGAATGACAAAGTAATAAACAATTAATTATGCAAATGGTCAGACGTTCAATAAGCCATGCCTTAGCTCGGGGCATTCAACAAGTATCTCAGGGATACACAGAGAAAATGTAGGAAATGCAATTTATATAAGCTTTAGATATGGCTTTATGTATTATTAACACTACTTTTACCCTAGCTACAGTTGAATAAGAAATATTTATACATTAACCTAAAGATATTATTGCTGTGAATCTTTCCTATTATTTTTTTTTCCTATGCACATAATTACATTCATATGTTATTCATTTTCTTATTTATCTTTCTTTTCCAGGGCGGTGGAATAACATATTTTATTCCCTTCTAGAGATGAAAAATCAATTTACCCACATTCACTTGGCCCAGAGGTGAGCACTTTTAATTATACAACTGTGTTGCCATTCGCTATTATGTATTCAAAATGTTATCGTTGTAAATTATAAAACGGAATCCATTAATGCAGCCAGATACGAATATATATACTGTGTAGTTGCAGCCACACAGCCATCTATGCAAAATTCATTTTCCCCAAATAGTATGCAATGGGAAATGTGCGTAAAATTTATGCAAACAAGCGACGTTGGCCAAAATGGCAGCTCTTGGTCGTCGGTTGTTGGTTGGTTGTTGGTTGTCGCTCGGATGGCTGATTCCATGTGTGCAAATGACTTTTGGAGCTGCTTATGTAAGTCGCTTAGGTTCATGCATAGTGCATCTTCCAAGCGCATTCCACTAAGCACTCAAAACTATAAGCAATACTAGCAAAATTTAGAAAATACTATAAACCATAATTTTCTAACAAATAAATAAATACTCTTTACAAATTCAAACGATTTATTAGTTCAACACTGTTACTATAATTAAAATACAGCTTAATACTCATTACCATTATAAAATCACTGGGGCAACTTGTTTAAACAGTGTAGCTGCCTCAATAATTCGGTTAAATTATTATTACCCAAGGAAATGAAACACTTCTGGCCTCAAAGTGCGCAAATATGAATTTAATTAACATCAATTGGCAACATATTTACAATTTGCACCTGTGCAACAGCAACAAGAGTGAAACATAACCGAAAGGAAATGGTCGAGTTAATTGCATATTGCGTATACGCCACGTTGCCTCCACGAGGGCCTCGAGTGGCAAATGCCAAACGGTTTTGTTATTCCGTTTGCCAGTTGTTTGGCACGAGTTTGTGATTTTATTTTTTGTTCTTTTTTTTCGTGTTTGGTTTGTTCTGTTCTGCCATACTTGTGCTTATGGGTAAAGTTTTCTGGTTTCTGGCTGGCAAAGTTCCTCCATTTGCCGTGGCATATTGGGATT